TCAAGACGCCATCAAAACTTTGCTTTTTGTGTCTAGCTTTTAGCTTTTCGCTTCTAGTCATGCTTTTTAGTTATATGCTTTGTAGCCATGCGGCTTTTTAGACCACAGCTCCACGTCGTCAGCCAACGCCCAATCACTGGCTTCCCAAGACTGAACCTCCAGCCAATCAGAAAAGCAGGAAACCCCTTTCGGCAACCAGACAAGGAAGGGGGAGTTCCCTTTAAAATCTTAATTGATTTCCCTTACAAATGTAAAAAATAAAAAGGCATGTTAATCGTATGAATAATAGATTCTACTGATTCTCATATTAGGCTGCTGGACTACAACTACTGTAATGCACAGATCAGTATATTGATACACGTGCGATTTTTTTCCCCCCAGTTTATATTTGATAGAGACAAAACCAACAGTGTGTATGTATGTATGTGTGTATGTGAACTAGGGTGTCTTTGACAGTTCAATAGATTTAAAGATAGTATACTCACTACGTAGTTTAACCGCCGCTGGGACGTGCGCTCTCGTAAAACATATCAAAAGTTGAAACTGGCCAGGCGCACAGCCGCATCTCTCTTACTGTTTGGAAGCGGTTGAAATTAAAATAAACGAGTGCACGTTGTGAGCGAATAATTTGTAGAAATCTGCCAGAAGAAGCAGCCATTATGAACAGCTGATTTGTACGAAGACATCTGATGACCAAACTACATCGGAATTCGCAAATGGAAAAATCAAGTGAGCCCGGGCCGATTTGTGTTCACAATGCACGTTTTTAGCAAACCGTACCTTTCGCCGAAAGCGAACCGTACTCGGACCACCTCCCGAGATGGTCTCGGCTCGGTTCGCTTCTGAGATCGTTTGGAGAGTTCACATATGGGCCAAAAATCACGCGAACCACGCTCAGACCCCTGAAAAGGACCAAGTGTGAAAACACAATCCTGCTCCTGGCGATCGACTGTCCTGCAAAGTTCAGCTCCAACTCTAATTAAACACACCTGCCTTTAATTTTCAAGTGGTCCTGAAGACTTTAATTATTTGCTTTAGGTGTGTTTGATTATGGTTGGAGCTGAACTTTGCAGGACAGTCGATCGCCAGGAGCAGGATTGGGCACCCCTGCCCTAGACAAAAAATAGCCTGTAATATAGTAATGTGTAAATATGTAAATCTTAGTCTGTAAGTTACTCAGCTTTTACTTGTTTTTTTAAGTAAAGCTTCTTTAAAATCACCACTCTTTGCCTAAATTATCATTTCTGAAGCATAACTGAAACAGCAAAAATCACAAGTAAGACTTCTTTACCTTCCATTAGGACAATAATTATGTCCCTCATGATAGTGAACGTGGTGCCCAGGACAAATAGAGAAAACAGGAATGTGCAGATGGGATCTGCAATTTTATATTCAGGCTATAAAAAGAAAAGAATTCAGTTCATTAGGATTATGCCATCAAATTGCATCTATACTTATCATTATCTGCTACCCTATCACAATAAAATGCACTCACACAACACCAATATTCTCTCTTAACTGCCTATTTTCTGCTCTATGTCTATATGACAAACAGATATCGACTGTCCTGCAAAGTTCAGCTCCAACTCTAATTAAACACACCTGCCTTTAATTTTCAAGTGGTCCTGAAGACTTTAATTATTTGCTTTAGGTGTGTTTGATTATGGTTGGAGCTGAACTTTGCAGGACAGTCGATCGCCAGGAGTAGGATTGGGCACCCCTGCCCTAGACAAAAAATAGCCTGTAATATAGTAATGTGTAAATATGTAAATATTAGTCTGTAAGTTACTCAGCTTTTACTTGTTTTTTTAAGTAAAGCTTCTTTAAAATCACCACTCTTTGCCTAAATTATCATTTCTGAAGCATAACTGAAACAGCAAAAATCACAAGTAAGACTTCTTTACCTTCCATTAGGACAATAATTATGTCCCTCATGATAGTGAACGTGGTGCCCAGGACAAATAGAGAAAACAGGAATGTGCAGATGGGATCTGCAATTTTATATTCAGGCTATAAAAAGAAAAGAATTCAGTTCATTAGGATTATGCCATCAAATTGCATCTATACTTATCATTATCTGCTACCCTATCACAATAAAATGCACTCACACAACACCAATATTCTCTCTTAACTGCCTATTTTCTGCTCTATGTCTATATGACAAACAGATAGCCACTGTTCTTTGTTACTTTTATGTTAAATAGTGCTGGTTCATCCGTTAGGACTCACCAATGCTAATAACCTCTGATCTTTTACCTTAAAAAAGATGATGAGCGCGCTGACAAGCACACTGACACTCTGTAGAAGGTCTCCAATCACATGGACGAATGCTGCCCTGACGCTAGCATTAGCTTGTTGTCTTTTACCAGACCCATTCTCCTCTACGTCACAATGGTTAGCGTTAGAATGACTGTGGCTGTTTTCCTTCCCATGGTCGTGACTGTGGCCGTGGCCGCCGCTCAGACCACCGTGACTATGGCCATGATCCGACTGATGCAGAGTGAAAGCCATTCTGCACAGAGAAGAACAGATAGAAGGTCAATTGAACCTCTTAAGACCCGAAAAAAGATTTTTAGGAAAAAAATAGTTTTTTTCATATGTCTTTACATTGTTTAGAGCATTAAAAAAAAGTGAATAAAAAAAAAAGATTAAAACAATTATATTTCATGCATAAGTTATGCTATGTCTTCGGTAGAGGACATTCGGGACTCAAATTTTTTTTTTTTTTATAAAAAGACGTGAATGAACATGCATAGGCAAAAACAATAGATTTTTAAAATCACCAATACATTTTTAGTTTTCAGGATTTTTTTTGTTTACCAAACTTTGTATAACCTTTAACTGTCACCCGTCCCCTCTGTGGGACGCCTAAGTTTACTTCACTATATTACAATTAAATCCTAATCTAATCATGACAAACTATACATCGTTGGAAAGGTCTAAGACTCCTAAATAGATATTTTACCAATGTTTTTGTAAAAAATTATGTAGGAAAGGTAATAGATTAATTTATGACCAGAGTGCACCTCAAAAATCAACATCATAACAGGAGTTCTGACCTTTGTCCAAAAAAGTCTTCTTTGTTGCCTTTTTCTCTATCACACTTTAGAAACCATCAGAAATTATATATCAATTGAAAACTTTAAATCTCAAAATTCATCCTTTGAAACCCATTTTAAAATCAAACATTGCATTACCATGAAAATGGTACATCAATATCATGTTACAAAATGTTTTCGTTCATGAATTATAAAAATTTAAGTTTGGATAGTGCACTTTCACGTCTATGTTCAAAAATGTGAGTGACAGTTAAAGGGATAAAGATTATTCTCAACTATGTTATAACAGAATGGTTTGATATACCATTTTTCTTTCTGCAAAATGTGTGTAAAATGGCCATAAATGGGTTTTCTCATTATATAAAATGTATCTATAAACTAAATCTAATTTGCATATTAATGTGTTTTGGGGGCAACATGTAATGAAAAAAGAAGTGTAATAATGGGAGTAATATTTGACAAGATTTTCATAATAATATATAATATTTAATAGAATATTGAAACATAATTTACTTCCCTATTCATTTGTTGTGTCTCCCAAAATGCTAATAAACATGCTTTTAGTCCCAGTGTCCTCATATGAGGACATGTATGAAATCCACATCAATACATTTTTAGTTTTCAGGATTTTTTTTGTTTACCAAACTTTGTATAACCTTTAACTGTCACCCGTCCCCTCTGTGGGACGCCTAAGTTTACTTCACTATATTACAATTAAATCCTAATCTAATCATGACAAACTATACATCGTTGGAAAGGTCTAAGACTCCTAAATAGATATTTTACCAATGTTTTTGTAAAAAATTATGTAGGAAAGGTAATAGATTAATTTATGACCAGAGTGCACCTCAAAAATCAACATCATAACAGGAGTTCTGACCTTTGTCCAAAAAAGTCTTCTTTGTTGCCTTTTTCTCTATCACACTTTAGAAACCATCAGAAATTATATATCAATTGAAAACTTTAAATCTCAAAATTCATCCTTTGAAACCCATTTTAAAATCAAACATTGCATTACCATGAAAATGGTACATCAATATCATGTTACAAAATGTTTTCGTTCATGAATTATAAAAATTTAAGTTTGGATAGTGCACTTTCACGTCTATGTTCAAAAATGTGAGTGACAGTTAAAGGGATAAAGATTATTCTCAACTATGTTATAACAGAATGGTTTGATATACCATTTTTCTTTCTGCAAAATGTGTGTAAAATGGCCATAAATGGGTTTTCTCATTATATAAAATGTATCTATAAACTAAATCTAATTTGCATATTAATGTGTTTTGGGGGCAACATGTAATGAAAAAAGAAGTGTAATAATGGGAGTAATATTTGACAAGATTTTCATAATAATATATAATATTTAATAGAATATTGAAACATAATTTACTTCCCTATTCATTTGTTGTGTCTCCCAAAATGCTAATAAACATGCTTTTAGTCCCAGTGTCCTCATATGAGGACATGTATGAAATCCACATCCTGTTTCGTAACAGAAAGTCATATTTTGATTTGAAACCCCATAACATTTTCCTGAGATGTTGATTTATGACAGACAGTTTAAAAATTAGACCGATTTAAATGATAATTACAAAATATTATCATATTTCCAGAAGAGTGTCACTAAATTAATATCAGACATATTTGAAGACCAAGGAGAGGGAGTGGTCATAGTGAAACATCCAAACATTTAGTATCTCTGAAAAGCCCTGAATGTGCTGTGGCATGTATAGTCTCAGAGAAATACACCAAAATATAATGTCCTCATATGAGGTCACAGGGTCGCCATTTTCACAGCAAATAACAATTTTGTTAAAATGTTTAACAAAATGTTTTGTTAAAATTTTGTTAAAATGCCAAAGGCCATATGAGGCTATTAATAGCATTCAGTAATAGAACTGTATATACTCCGTAATAGAACTGCATTGCACAATGAGGTTTTTGTCTTACATGATGTTGGCCAGTACAGCACAGCCAGAGGTGATCAGCATGACTGTGCCCTCAATAGTGAAGTCATCATCAATGAGCCGTTCCACTGCTAGATACACTAGCACACCAGTCACCAGCCAAATGGTGAAAACAGACAGCAGAGCACCCAAGATTTCTGAAAACACCCAATAGTAGATGAAATTACACTTGTAGTTCATATAGTTCACTAGCATACATAAGGAATATTTAAGAAGTATAAACACCTTACTGTTGAAAAGTTTGGGGTCCATAAGATTTTTTAAATGTTTCTGAAACAGGTCTCTTATGCTGACCAAAAATGCAGAACAAATGTTATTAAAATTGAAAATAACTATTTTGTATTTTAATACTATTTTGTATATTTTGTACTATTTTGCGTTTTAGTATATATTAAAATGTCATTTATTACTGTGATTTAAACGCTGAATTTTCATCATCCATTACTCCAGTTTTCAGTGTCACATGATCCTTCAGGAATTATTCTAATATGTTGATTTGGTGCTAGCATTTCTTATTACTATCAGTGTTAAAAACAGTTGTGCTGCATAATATTTTTGTGGGATTTTTTAAAGAATAGAAGTTGAAAAGAACAATTTATTTGAAATAGAAAGGTTTCGCTGTCCCTTTTTATCAATGTTTTGTTGCTGAATAAAAGTATTAAGTACTGATCCCAAACTTTTGAATGGTAGTGTATTTTATGTATAGATGCATATACTGTATATAGTGTACTTTTTTAAGTAGCAGACACCCAGGAATTTTGAGCCACATGACAACAATTTACTGTTCTACAATTCCAGTGATTCACCTGCTCGATGCCAGCCGTAATTGAGAGTGCGTGTAGCAGGTCTGGACGACAGCCACAGCGAGCACAAACTGATGATGAAGCTGGTGAGGTCCACAAGCAGGTGGGCGGCATCTGTCATCACTGCCAGACTTCCAGCAAAATACCCACCTGTACACAGACCAGACAGCAGCACATATTCACCAACAATCCTTTGTGTGTGCAAAAACAATTTGCAGCCAATCAGCAGTAAGGGTCACACACCTAAGATCTCGCCCACCATGAAGACCAGACACACTGCTGAAACAATGTACAGGCGTTTCTTGGCAAGCTTTTTTTCACGCTCTCGGTCCTCCAGGGCACGGGTATTATCGTGACAGTGCTTACCATCTTTCATCTCACCTGAGGACATACTGGAACAGTAAAGAACATTAACATGATTAAATGAAGATCTATCGATTTCTTGGAGTCATAGTTTTGAATAACAAACAGCTGATCTAGCTATAAGTAGCTGCATGCAATTCACCTGCAGCATACAATGATATAAATACATAAATAAATAATGAAATATATATACATATATATATATATAGCCATACCCCAGCCCAGTCAGATGTGCCGTGGAAAATTATCCAAACTTCATATCTCTATTTATTTCGTTATTGTTATTTTTAAATGAATGCTATTGGTCTTTCTTATGTCTGAGGGTTTTACAAAAAAAAATTCCCAATGACAAGCATTCAAACGAGCTTGTCACTGAAGCTAAACGCCATTTGCTCCTCAAACTGTCAGCGAAACCGTGTCACTCCACCCCGCTTCCATTTAGAGTGAAGCGCCGGCCACAGCCTGGAGACAGATCTCCGCTTATTCGCAATGCAAGGGTAAATAAATAACGGATGTTTGAATAAGTGCCGCGTTTTCTTTACTCAAGAAACACTATGTCTGTAAAGACTAATATATATTTTTTGTGTGTGTGTCTGAAGAGCGGAGAAGAGTCTTAGCTTTTTCCGTCTAGCTGTAGCCAATAGGCCTTTACTTTTGTTCTGTTTCAGCTCGATCTCAAGGCAGTACGTGCCACAGTCACGAAATGTATAGTTAATTGATTCGTGTTCAGTTATAAATATTGTATTAAAAATAGAAAATTGTTACAGATGGTAAAAAAATCTTGTTATCTATATGTTTTTTTTAGGGATGCACGATATATCGGCCACCATATCGGTATCGGCCCATATCGGCTCATTTTTTCTGTTATCGGTATCGGCCTGATAAGAAAATTTGGCCGATATCTTAAAGCCGATAAATAATGCATTATTTCCTTCAGAGACACTTCAGATGCACGCTGTTCGTTTGTAGCCTTTTGTGCAATTGTACATTGTAATATTGTGTTTATTTGATGTATATCTGATTTATCTCATATAGAATGCGTTTGGTTAAGTTAAAAGAGTGCTTCAGTTTACCGGTGATCATCTTTAGCTCAGCACACGCAGCTCAAACAGCAGTGCACAACATTAATAACTATGATTGGGAATGTCGTGTATATAGCATTCTAATGAGAAAATTATTATAATAAAACGTTGTGAATTCTTTGGGTTTAGTTGCAGTGTTTCAGCGCATTGTTATGGGAAGAGCGCATCCACAACAGGATCACACATTCTGAATATAGCACGCAATAACTGCATCATTTTGTACATATAAGTTGTAATATTATGTTTATGTTGTATTAATATTAATCTCAGGATGCATTTCCTTGAGTTAAATAAGCTGCCAGCAAAACGCTTCAGTTTACCGTGTTCATTCAGCTCTTCAGCTTCAGCACGCGCAGCTCAACGGCTACTATTTAAAACAGTGGTATTAATTTGTTACTTTTTCAAAATCATTGATATATTATTAATAACAACAACCACTTGTATTTTTCTCTTATTATTTTCATCAACAATATGGTTTAGTAATTAAAATCATTTAATTATTGTCCGTGCAGAGGCTATTCCGTTTTATTGATCTATGGCGCATTCATTTTGATTCTTTACACGTGTAATGATGTCCAGTGACTAGTTTGCATTATGCATAATTTTATTTATTTGTAAGACTTTTTTATGACTAAATTTGGTAATGGGAGAGTAAAAATATTTTTAAAACGTACACCGTTCAAACTAGGCTGCTTATGTTGAAGTGTTTGGGATGTGGCTTTTAATGATGAGACCTTTTTTGTAATCAGGCTCTCAAAAAGTATATAACAATTTGGATATAGATTTATCGGCCAACATATCGGTTATCGGCTTTCAAAAATAAAGAATAATCGGTTATCGGTATCGGCCAAAATTTTCATATCGGTGAATCCCTAGTCATAAGGGTCAATTTTTTTAAAATTGAGATTTATACAATAAATAAGCTTTCCATTGATGTATGGTTTGTTAGGATAGGATAATATTTGGCCGAGATACAACTATTTGAAAATCTGGAATCTGTGGGTGCAAAGAAATCAAAATATTGAGAAAATCGCCTTTAAAGTTGTCCAAATAAAGTTCTTAGCAATGCATATTACTAATCAAAAATTAAGTTTACAATGATATAAATACATAAATAAATAATGAAATATATATACATATATATATATATAGCCATACCCCAGCCCAGTCAGATGTGCCGTGGAAAATTATCCAAACTTCATATCTCTATTTATTTCGTTATTGTTATTTTTAAATGAATGCTATTGGTCTTTCTTATGTCTGAGGGTTTTACAAAAAAAAATTCCCAATGACAAGCATTCAAACGAGCTTGTCACTGAAGCTAAACGCCATTTGCTCCTCAAACTGTCAGCGAAACCGTGTCACTCCACCCCGCTTCCATTTAGAGTGAAGCGCCGGCCACAGCCTGGAGACAGATCTCCGCTTATTCGCAATGCAAGGGTAAATAAATAACGGATGTTTGAATAAGTGCCGCGTTTTCTTTACTCAAGAAACACTATGTCTGTAAAGACTAATATATATTTTTTGTGTGTGTGTCTGAAGAGCGGAGAAGAGTCTTAGCTTTTTCCGTCTAGCTGTAGCCAATAGGCCTTTACTTTTGTTCTGTTTCAGCTCGATCTCAAGGCAGTACGTGCCACAGTCACGAAATGTATAGTTAATTGATTCGTGTTCAGTTATAAATATTGTATTAAAAATAGAAAATTGTTACAGATGGTAAAAAAATCTCGTTATCTATATGTTTTTTTCTTTCATCTAAGCGCCCATTCAGTCTATTGTCCTAATGTCTTGCTTGCATGCTCCATTAATGTTTTATGTTTTGTTCATTTTAAATATGGGGTAGGCTAAATAAGGGTTAAATATATCAATTAAAAAAATGCAACATTTAAAAGTAGCATTTTAATTTGAGTGTATTCAACCCTTCTCTGTAATCCCTTTTCACCGACATAGCACTAATTCTGGTGCCGGTGTTGTGCCGAATTCTGCACCCCTGCCAGATTATGCACCCCCTCGTTGAAGTCGCTACCTGATTGCTTAATCCCAACCCCACCCCTAATCCTAACCCCACACCTAACCCTAAACCTACCAATACTAGGGGGCGCATAATCTGTCAGGGTGCAAATCTCGGCACTACACCGTATCAGGATCCGGCTTGTTCCGGCACAAATTAAGCCCTGCATGCAGCCAAATACAGCTATAGTAAACGCAGGTGTGTGGCTTATAGCAAGTTCAGTTCAGTGAGGAATTGCAATAGTGACAAAGGTATTGCATGTTTAACTGCATTATTTTGCAGACCAATATCTTTCTCTGTTGCTCACTATATCCAAATGTATGAAAGTCAAATAATAACAATAATGCTGTGACTTGATTACATCACCATATTTGTTTCATGTGAATGATGGCTCAATAACTGAGCATACAGCTGAGAAGACGAATTATCCTATTTATGGTGATAGAGGGGTTCTTGGTCATCTTTAGATTATTTGGCCTTGGGAGATTCAACAGTTTTTATTTTGCATAAACTTTACTTGAAGGGGTGTGCATAAGACTGACATGACACGTGTCATGAATATGAAGGAGGTTTTATGCATGTTTATGACAACTGTCATTAAGTGTCATTCGCTCAGTTATGTCATTTTTAATAACCTAACGTTTGACCTAACCCTAACCTAACCCTACCCCTAACCCTAGCCCATAACAAAGACATCTCAAACAATGTCATCTTTGCATTAAAAATGACATAACTGAGCGAATGACACTTAATGACAGTTGTCATAAACATGCATAAAAC